ATTTCAACTCTTTGGAGTCCCTTGTAACCTCATGGAACCCTTGAAGTCCCATGGAATGCCGAAATATTTTCGATTTCCCTTCAAAAGCCCTTTATAAAAATTAGAAACAGTTATTTCTTAATTTTTTTTTGTCGATCATTATATCAGATAGGATAGAAATAATTGAGGAGACGGGTCGCATAGCTATCTGGAGGGTGTGGGTCACGTTGGACAGAAAAAAGGGATCGAAAGCAATTGCCAGGTGCCAAATCGCTATTGGGTCGAGACTATGTGCATTATGTAGGCTCTAATGAGCCATGAATACTCTAAAAAAGACTTGTGTTTCTTGCTTATTTCTATCAAGATATTTGATTTTTACAGCAATTTTCAGCAGAACACCGTGGTCTCCGTCAGATTTACTTGGAAAACCAACTTTCAAATTTCGATTTGAAAGTTTGTGCAGAGAAGGGTCTCAACTAGACTAGTTTGTTCTGACGGTTTCAGATTTTTGGGTTCCTTCTCTCTTGAGACACGAGTGTAAGAAAAAGTACTTTTTTTTCATATTACTTAAAGCACAAAATGTTAAGTGTTCATATTTAAAGATAGGAGCAACCAAGAAATTTCAGAATTTCAGAATAAACCAGTCTTATTGAGACCTTTCTCTGCTCAAAGCTTCAAGTCGAAATTCGAAAGTCGATTTTTCAGTGAGCTTGAGGGCGACCATGATGGTGTGCTAAAAAATGTCATAAAAATAAAAAATCTCGACAAGGGTTTAATGGCGCATCTTTGAGGATCTATTGAAGCTAGATGATGATACGTTCTATCAAAAGATAGATTAAAACTTCCATTTGAACTCCGACAAAATCCAGCAAATGAACTGCATTATAGATCAGTGACTATTTTTCACCATACGGATTGGAAGTTTTTGATCTTATTATAGCCTAAAGAGCTTCAAGAAGTCCGGACGGTCTGTAATATATAGTAAATACATAAAACTATACAAGTATTTGATGACTACAAAATATAAGTAGATCATCAATTAAAAATATAAATTTTACTTATATGGTCTAATTAATGATATTCACCTATTTTACGTACTTTGTGGTACCTGATATTTAATGCATACTCGCTATAGAGCGACATCCAAGATTCTCTTAAATCAGGACCATGGTAGCTTCAATGCTAGCTACGAGATGGGTTCGAATCTCGAAAATTGATTTTGTCACCTGGCTGTCCACTGTGTGGGTGTGGATCGTTGATTTTGCTTTCACACCCACACACCCACACCATTATTAACTGATTTACTTATTGTTGTTTCACAGGTTTCAGCTATTGAATAATTATAGGTTTTGTTTTCATTTTTGTTTCCATTAACATTTATCTTTTTCAATTTGATTATCAACCTAAAATACAAGTTATTGACAGTAGTCTGGTAATCCTTTTTTTAAGATCGAAATGACTAAGTACTATGCACACCGCTTGTGTGAATGCTTACATCACATTTTATAGTAGTACCGTGGTCGTTCATTGTGCATCATAGAGCATTGAACAGGAAACATTCGTATGATAAAAGAGAGTGAAGGATTCTCAAATAATTCTACCGTTTTTTAGATCTTGAAAATATCTTGGAGTTCCTCGGAATTATATGGAACCCAGGAATCCCGAAATCTGTTATTTTCCCTGTGTCCACACCCACACTCTGTTAGGACTGTGCTTTCACTCAATATAGAGAAATGAGTGATACATCACGAAGATGAAGATAAACGCTTGAATACAAATAGTTCTGACATTGACTGCATTACTCTATAATCGTTTTTGTTTGTACAACACTCTATGTGAATAAAACAAAGATGTTGTGACGAATTATGACGGCATAGATAGTAGGCTTTATTACCGTCTCGTTTTTTAAGTTTGCTTCATCGTTATATATAGATAAACGCGTAAAAGGTTTCAATATCTTAACTAATATAAGGTTGATCTAGCCAAATAATATCAGATTCGAATTTGACCCATCCTTGAAATTCTAATTCTGGTGAGGCTCAGCTTAATAGTGCCCATTTCTGGTGAGGCTCAAGCCTATCAAGCCTATACGTTCCGCCGCCTATGATCACAACATATAAATAAATATATTAGAAGTTCGGATCTTCGCACTGAAATAATATTCATTTGATAAGTATAAACCATCGTGCAAAAAAATATCGTATTCATAATTGGGGTAAGGCTGAGCCTCCAGACACCAAATTCGGGTGAGGCTCATGCCTCACCCAGCCTCCAGCTTCCGCCCCCTATGTTTCTAATGACACCTATTATAACTACCATTTATCTACCTCTAAGAGCAAAACAAACATTATGTTTTTAGATAAAGTTCTATGATATGATGTAAGAAAATTATAGTTTCAAAGCATGATGTTGTTCAATTGACAAGATCATCAAACATATTTATCAATGGGTTGTTTTAAAAAATTTAGAAACAATACATAGTTATTAGTTCTGTTTCATTTTTGAGATAAAACAAGGGAAAATAGCTGGTACATGTTGTTGATAATTAACATAATCTTGACCAAATATTTGTATTAATTTGCGTTCTTCAAAAGGAATACCGATTGATGCATATATACATGTATATAGAATAAAAGCCAAACGATCAAGTGACATAGTAGGTGTGATTGTAAAAGCCAATAGAGTAATCAAATATAAAGGATGACGGCAATAACGAAATAGACCAGTTGTCACTAAAGTCTGATTACCTGTCGTTCTTGTCTCTGACTTGATTGACGATGAATATGGACATGTCATACTATCGAATTTACTGAAGATTTGTTGTAGACCACAAAATTCAAATGGATTAAACTTAATAATCACATACCATCCTTTGAAAAAATATTGTATTATAATAAATCTAAAGAGAAATGAAGTTACCTGGTGCGAAAATAATATTGTAGATAATGAATAAAGCAAGATTTTGTTGATAATCATTCATTGTTGATGGTAACAAATTCCAAAGTTGTATATGTGTATGTTGCCAAAAACCCATAATAATAAATGCAGTGATAGTTACCAGCAAACAATACACAGTTCGAAGTGTTTGCTTAGGAAATAAGAATTGACCAAGAAAAGCTTGAGCATATTCTTGTGCAAAAAGTGTATGAACAAAACCAAAAATTGCATAAAGAAAAGCATTAAATATTAGTTTCGCAATAACTGATGACGATATTTTATTTATGTGAACATATGGAACATTAAAAAGAGAACTTGAAATGGGTAGATAAGTTGAAATAAAATTTGTAAGTATCAATGGCATTTTCATGTCACATGCAACCCAATTAAAAAGGATGCATGCGAGACCCGCTCCAAAAAATAGATTTAGAATGAGCCAAATAAAGCGAGTAGCAACATTCATCTAAAAAATAGAAAAATAAAAACTCACATTTATTTTTCTTTGTATTATCTTTTTTTTCAGAGTGTTTTTGAAGACGACGATCGTCAGTAATGATCATAACTTGATATTCAAAATTTCTTTGAAAAAAGTTAAGATTAGAAGTCTGAGTTAAGCTTATTTTCTAGTTTTATGCTGTCTTCAAACAAGTAACAAATTAATCAATCATATCTACCAATACATCTTTGATGGATATTTTCCGCTAAAGGTCATTTTTTTATAGATAGATATGATATCTTCATTTGGTAATTATTAGGACTAAAAAAGACATTTTTCGATTTATCCTAGGACGATTATACCGATTGTCGGAAACGATTAAAAATGTTATTTAGAACACTGTAAAAAAGGATAGAATAATAAACCCTTTTTACCGTACGTCAAACTTTTCATAAACCCTTATAAGGATTTATGAAAATCAAATACCCTTTCATATACCCTTCAGAAGGATTTTTGAAAGGGTATTTGATTGTCATATACCCGTAAGTGGTTATTATACGTTGCATTTTCATAAACTGTTAGAAGGGTTTAAGAAAATCAAATACCCTTTCATATGCCCTTCCGAGGGGTTTATGATACAGTTTATGAAAATTATATGTCCTTTCAAAAATCCTTCAAAAGGGTATATGAAAGGGTATTTGATTTTCATATATCCTTATAAGGATTTATGAAAACCAAATATCTTTTCATAAACCTTTGTGAAAGGTTAATGAAATTCCAGTGCAAATCAAAATTTGTATCTCGACTTCGATCAATCTGTGTTCAAACCTAAATGAAAAAATAAAGTTATTTATTTAATTTTATTCATACTTACAACTGTTTAGGTTGTTGTGCCAGATCTAAATGAAAAAAGTAAAGTTATATATTCAGTTTTATTATTACTTACAGGTGTACTAGTTGATGAATCTACTCTAAACAAAAAAGAACTCTATATCCTTAATTGAATTCATACTTACAGCTTTATAAGTTGTTGTACTAGATGTAAATAAAAGAAAAACTGAATTTAATATGATTGATACTTACAACTATATAAGTTGCTGAACGAGATCTAAACCAAAAATTAAAACTTTTCATGTAGATGCATTAATACCTAGAGCTGTATATATTGTTAGTCCAAATCTAAATGAAAAAAAAAATTATATTAAGTTTAATTTATACTTACGATTGGAGAAGTTGTTAGAACAGATCTAAATAGAAAAAAATAATATTTGAATTTCATCTAGATGTTACTTACAGCTATACAAGTTGTTGCAGTAAATCTAACTCAAAAACTAAAACTTTTTATGTAAATGTATTAATACCTACAGTTACATAAATTAGTGGGCTAACTCTAAATGAAAAAAAATGATTCGTTTAAGCTGATTCATACTTATAGCTGTATAATTTTTTGGACGATATATAAACTAAGCAGACGTAATCTAGTACATTTAAAACTCACATCATTAGGTGGCTCAGCTAATAAACCTAACCTAAACGAAAAAGATTTGAATTTAAATTTTGTGATGCTTAAGACTGAATGGCAATTAAAAATCAGTAGATCATCGATTCAGATCGTGATTTTTCGGAAATCAAATGATAGTTTAAGTTTAAGATTCTGGTCCCCATGGGCTTTTGAAAGACAGATGCAGAACTGACTGAAGGTGTATCCCTTTATATGTCATCCACTTAAAAATATGTGCTATTTACTGAGATCAGCTGCATATATATACATACTTATTATCTTTCTAAATTAGTGAAGGACTTTTCTCGGGATTCCGGAACTTCGCCAATTTTGACTTTCGCCAATTATTGGCGAAATTCCACGAAATGTATTGGCGAAAGTTCAATGGATCTTCGCCAATTGGCGACTGTCCAACAGATATACTGGTGAATGTCTACTGAACTTTCACCAATTGGCGAATTTCCAAGAGATATACTGACGAATATCCAGTACGTATACTGGCGAGAGTCGAATAGATTTTTATTCGTTCAAGTGAGACATTCATATTCTGCATGATATATGGAAATCACACTTAGTATTATATAAATGTACTGTGAATCATTCGGTTATAATTTCATCAAGCCAATTTCTTGAATATTTCGATAGCAAGCTTGACACATGTGGAACCAGCATCCAGTTATACTTGTATCAGGTAACTAAGTCACATTTACATAGACGAATACATATTTTTGAATACTATGAGATATTGAAAAAAAATTACGTACTTCTGTTTGAACAGCATTCATAAATGCTCTTTCGAAATCACAAACAATTGTAGTTGGTTTTAAATCAATACCTTTTTTACCACCTATTCTTTTCAAACATCGGAAAATCGCTTCATACGTTTCTTGTTTTCTATTCGATGTTAGTATAAAACAAACAGGAATGGCTAAAAATAATGAGAAAGCGAAATGAAAAAACATTTTATTTATCATTTCTATATTATTGCATACAGTGCGAACATATCTCTCTCTTTCTCTTCTCTTATCTAATTCAGGTGCATTCTTTCGTCTCTTTAGCCTATATACATATGTATACGTATATATCATGTTTGTTTCTGTGTCATTTTCTTTCCGTTCTCTCTTATATCTTCATTTCATTAATTGGAAAGAAAAAGAAGATTTATACCTTCGCCATTTTGCATCCCATGTAACACATATAACTGCTCAAATAGCTTTGGTGAAACCTTAAATGTGCCGTCAGCAAATAATACATCTGAACCATATAAGACATTTAACTGTTCATCAGAAGCAAATATCATCAGACGACCTCCATAAATAGTTTTTCGCTTATCATAGATAAGAAATTTTTGATGCGAGTAGGTTTCTTGATAAACTGATGGTACGAGAAACTTTTGATTCTGTGGCATTGGTGGTAATGATTTTCTTCTTAATTTATGTAGACCAGATTCTAGTGAATAAAAATTAGAAGGTGGAATTACATTACAGAAAAAAAACTAATTTATATACCTATTTGAGCCGGAAGAGGCATCATTCGTTTTTCTTCGACTGATAGATTTGCTTTCCTATATTCTTCTTCAATAATGATTTTGATTGATATATATTCATCAAGAACACGATGTTTAATTTTGTTTAATATATCACGCTTTCGTGTTTCACGTGCATCCGATGAATGACAATGGAAGATGCCGTTCCAGTGACTAAATTGTCCTGTTTGTTTCGAGATATGAATAACGGCTTTGCAATTCTCATTTCTTCGAGCACACCGCCAACCCGTTGTTTCTTTTGCCATACTCATATAAAGATATGCAAAGCCGTTCATGAAAACCATTTTTCCACCTCGTGTTGATGTACCTGTTGTTATTTCTCCTTTGATGACTGGTACATTCATAAGATGACTTGAATCTCCTGCGAATATTTCATTTTCATCGTTGTTTGATGATTCTAATGATATGATAGAATCATTATCATCATTCTTTGTTGGTGGTGATTTTGTTGGAGAAACTGAACCTGTTATTGGCGTTGAAGATGTTGGTTCAACTGTTGCATCGTCTGTTTTTAATATCACATCTTCATGAGGCTGTTCATGAATACATTCGGGTGTAAGTACAGCATCTAAAGTTGTTGACTGTGGTTGAAGTGGAGGACATATTTGAGATTCCGCACAAGATATTATCTGTTGTACTAGAGCTTGTTTACATTGCTGCTTTGATGAACATTTACGAGTTGTTTTGCCAGTTGATGTTGAAGTTGGTGTTGCTTGATCTTGTGAATGAATTAAATCTGCATTAGCTTGCGATCTTAATGCTGCTGCACGAGTAGTAACAGGCATTTGATTAACAATAGCTATCTGAAAAACTCGAAATCATATCATATATACTAAACTTTTTACCTATGTATTGATATGAACAGATGTTCAATGTGTTATACTTCATACTTGTTAACACACAAATGACATTAGACTTATTTTGAATAAATCTAAAACTACAAATAAAAATTTTGATCATGTCATTTCCAACAATTTTCTTAGCGTGTATTTGTTACTGATCTCTCCGATCAATACCACTATCATTTTTCAATCGCTCAATATCTGAAGGATTTACCGGCGTAAGTCCACTGGAAATTCGCTAATTGGCTAATGTGAGGACAGTAAACTGGCGAAAGATCAATGGACACTCGCCAATTGGCGAATGTCAGGAAGGTACATTGGCGAAAGCACAGTGGACTTTCGCCATTGGCGAAAGTTCAAATTGCGAAAGTCTTATTGGCGAACTTCCGGTAACCCGTTTTTTTAGCTATAATTAACTGGATGTGCTTTTCCAGAAAGTCAGGGTGATTTTTCGAGATCCTCATAGGGATTCTCACGGTTTTAAGAGTTGAGGGCAAGGTTGTCAGATCTTTCGATTTAGCAGGAAAATTTCCAATTTTTGGAATTTTTTCTGACGACTTTTCGATGTTCCGATTTTTTTCCCATTTTGGGCACATTTTTTCGATCATCTTCCAGTCTTCTAATTTTTCTCCGGTTTTTGGATTTTTTTTCTAAATTCAAGTTCTTAGAATGTTCTAGAATCACTTAACGATGACTTGCTATCGCCTATACATTGTGATCTACTTTAATGTAATTATTCGGTGCTGCAGCATTATGAACTCAACAAAGAACACTTCAGTGCTCTGAAAATTCAGCTTCAAAAAAATTAGGATATTTTGCAAACAACAAATATTTAGTTTTTTGTCGCGATGAACTAATTTTCTCTATATCAATAATTAAAAATATTTTCCCTTTTGAGTTTTTGTGTTTCATTGCAA